AGCATATAGCCTATGCCAGCTTTCCTGTAAGTGCTTTGCCAATGAGCAGGCAAGTGATACAGCAATCTGGATTTGAAGGGTTGCTTCTCAGCACTGGCGGTGAGATAGTGACGTGCCTCTGAGAGGCTTTTGGCAGCATTGCCTTGCTGACTTGCTCTGCTCACAGTTCTGAGCACACTTGCAGCATCTGGGGGAAATGCAGCCTCCCACTGCTCTGTCGTCGGGCTCACAGCCGAATTTCCAGATTGCTGTTCCTCCTCCTCTGCTCTGTTCCTGTTCCATCTCCCTCTTTTCTCTTTGTCCATCTGGCCACTTGGTTAGGTAATTGTTGGGAGCTATCTCTGAAGCTTCTAGGCTGTGCTTGAAATAACATGTTAAGCTTCTCCCCGTCTACTCGAGTGTGAAACACAGTCCCTTCTGCAACCCCCCAGTCTGACTTAATTATTAAAATCCTGCTGTTAAGACATATGAGCATCTGTCTGTCCAGCTGCCATGCTGATTGACTCTTCATCATGTACTTGAGAAATGTTCAGAGAGGCTTGAGGAATTGGTGTTGTGTATTTCAATGTATTCCTTTGTCTTTTCCCTCTGGAATTATTCATCTTGGAATGGTGACATTTTTTTTTACCCTTCCTTTATAGTCTCTCTTGTCTACCCAGTGCTTTGATCTGAATCCAGAGCCGCGGTGGTGGTCTAAATCTCATCTTGAAATGGAAGCAGCCCTTATTAGTCAAATGGGGGGTTATTTGTGTTCCAGAGAATCTGGATGGCATCTTGGGATGACTTTGTACTTGGAGAAAATACCGTGAGGAGGATGGATAAATGCATGTGTAATTACAACTGTCCCTCAACCCCACCTAAATTTAGAAACTGGAAGCTTGAGATTTGGCCTTTAAATGCTGTGGCATTGTCAACAAGCCTGCTGAGAGACAATGAAAGTGCTTCTCTGTTGTCTCAGGGTGATACAGCTATTCAGCACACATGACTAAAAGATAAACATTATATTTCCTATTTTGATAAGAAATGTTTCCAACTGAAAAGATTTAAAATGATTCTGCTGTCAAGCTCTGGGGGCTCCCATACAGGGTTCAATTTGTTTCCAGAGCCATTATAGTGCTGGCTTGCCTGGTAATTAAGGAAATTTGGGGGGAGGGGGTTCAGAAGGCTGCTAACAACAAGAAATAAAACTATCCCTGATAGCATCACTTGGAAAATAATTTCAGAACTGCTTTCAGAAAACTATTTTAGAAAATGAACACAGCTGGGTCTGTGGGTGTCAGAGGTAGGTGTGAGCTTCCCTGTGGGACACAGCGGGGTGAGGCTGGGAGCAGAAAATAGGCTCTGTAAAATGTAGGTACTACAGTTTTAGTGCTGTTGTCTTCCTTCTCACACTGATGGCAAATGGATGGCAACCAGGTGCTACAACAGTTCATAGTGGTATGTGATTTTTTTTGGCTGGCCTTCAACATGCTCCCGAGAAGGATCTCGTATCACTCTTTGCTCATATTTCTCTTCAGGCTGAAGGTTAAAGAGGAAGCGATAGCCCTTCACATAGCAGCCTGTCAAGAAACAAGGGGGAGTGCAGTTACACACAGATCGCTTGCTCTCCCTACAGCACAGCTTGCTCACTTCTGGGACTCATTAACATCTTCCGACCTGCATACCACTTTTGGGAGTATTTCAGTATGTTTACACTTCAAATGCATTGCAGAAAGTTTTGGGAAACAGCTGTTTCCTAAACTTTCTTGCAACTAGTTCTTTTCTCCTGATTTTAGTGTGCTGTTCCTATTTCGTAGTTTCACTTCTCTTCAACCCTCTCCTTGCAAATGAAGCTGGCAAACCGCAGGAGACATCCTGGGATTTTTTTTTTTCCCCAGTCTCCCTGCAAGCACTGAGCAACTGGAGGTCAATTAAGTGATTTTCTTGAATGCTCTTTTATTGTGCCCCATTAGTGCAGATATCCTCCGAGGACATCCAGCTAGGCCCACAAGCAAAGGAACGGCATTGCTTTGGATCTTGAAACCCTTTCATTCATGCTGTCCTCGTGCCCTGCAGTGCTCCAGACAGATGCTTGTTCAGAAAGGTGTCTCTGTGAATGTGAGGGCATCCACAATCCCAGTGTGCAATCAGTATTCATTTTACATCTGTGAGATGAATGGCTCATGTGTGCGAGTCGTTGTGGTGCTTTTAGAATCCAAATGTGCTCAGTTTTTCCAATCTGTTCTTAACTGAAGTATAATTTTTTTTTTTGCGCAGAGCTGGAGTGTGATTGTAAGCAAAAAGCAGTGAGTGCTGCTTAGGACCTACTGTTCCTCCACCTGCCTACCTCCAGCCCAGCACCTGTTCTGCTTTTTCAGGCTTAATTCACAAGCAAGTTCGGCTTCTGCAGCAAAGTTAAGCCAGAGCCAATTCTATAAGTACTGACAAAAGGGAGATTCAAGAAGGAAAGCAGCTTGTTTCTTACTTTGCCAAATACACATAGATGCCTCTGTAAGGTGTAGAGAAGGCACTGAAGGGGCTCTTTGCATCAGTGAGGCAGAAGGTTTGGGAAGGCACCATCTGTGAGCTGGGAGAGGGAAGCCCTGGGGACCGAGGTTAAGAGTAGATCCTGTGGTGCCCTGTGGAACAGCTTTGTTTCTGTGCTAATTGGGGGACGCCCCAGGCAAAGAAGCAGGAATTGAGTCTTTTTTTTTTTTTTTGAGAAAGATGATTCTTTCCTTCCCTAACCAAAGTGGCAAGTGGCTTGTGAGAAGAGCACAGCGGCTTGGAGGGCTGGCTGTCTCCAGGAGGAAAAGCTTTTACTGGGGAAGATCCATGTGTCTCAGAACCTGCAAACCTTGGAGAGAAAGAACAAGCTTTGCAGAAAAGATGCGATTTGGTTGATATGTGAGGTATCTGTGGGCTGCTGAAGAGCAATGCCCAGCAGAGGGAGCAAGCCAAAGCCTCTTCTGCCAAAATTGTGAGAAGCTGGAAGAGAAAGCTGTCTCTAGAAATGTAGATAGCACAGCAACTTGCACTGTGTGCATTATCCTGTAGCTGCCAATCTAATAATTATTCCCCATAGCCTTTAAAATGCAGACAGCTCCCTTTAAACTCCCAACGGTTAATAGAGTTTTCCGTATTGTCTTTGGTATTCAGGCTGTTTTTGCACTGGTGCACTTCATCTCTGTGCCCTGCTCCATCTACTGTAAAACACATTCCATCTGTTGTGGTGATTATGTCAGGAGTTTGGCAGCTGTCTTCTCACTTAATTGTCCACATTTCTTAACCTGTGCTTCCTGCAGCATATTTTAGTAACAGCTCTGCAAACTGTTTTTGAGTATCTGTGGTGGAATGGAGGGTACCTACACAATGTGTATAGTGGGGCACTTGGTTTCTATTCACAGGTTTTCTGGCTGGCATTCAAATTTTCTGCTCTTGTAACTCAAGTTTGCCCCTGGATGCAAACATGGACGCAGAAAAGTGTATCTACAGGACTACCTGGCTAGGCTCCCTGTCTTGGCAGTGGAGACAAGTCCTTTCTCCAGAGGGTAGTTCAGAGCAGGAGCCTGGATTAGCTGCTCTGAATCTGTTTTTCTCTCTTGACTCTAAGGGAGCTGAGGTGAAGGAGCTGCCACGTGAGGTTTCCCATGTTAGGAGGTGTGAATGCCCCAAGCTCTGACTGCTGCTGTTGTGGGAGCCACTTCTTTCTATAGGGACTGTGCAGGACCCTGGCATGAGCAGTGTGAAGTAGTATATGGATAGGTGCTAAAACTTTTAGTAATGGTTAGGTGGGGTGTGTATATCCAGTACCTATTTCTATTCTGTAGAGATACATAGATTCTCTGCCTGAGAATTTTATAATCTATCCTTCAGAATAAAAATTCCAACCCCTCACCTTGTTTTGTGGTCAAAAGGGGTTGTTGATTCTGCATCAAAGTGAGGGCTGCTGGGGCACCGAGCACTTAGCACTCATCTGTGAAGTGATGCTGCTGATCTATTCAGCCCGTTCTAGGTTTGTCTTTTACTGTCTGCAGGGAGGGCTGCCATGTCCTGTAAACTCAAAATCCCAAAGCTCTCCCGGGTACTACAGCGAGTACCACTCTTTTCTAAAGTGTGAGGAAAGTGGTGTCACTTTTAAATGAGCCCCTGGTTGCACACCAAATTCCAGTACTACTTGTGTGGTATTTCACTATGTAACCCCCACAATGGCATGTTTTAAATTATTGAACTAGCAAAGATGAGAAGAGCAAAACAAAAAGCCTCTCAGGGATAAGATGATAAGGAATTGCTGGGGAGAGGTTTGCAAGAAGCTGCAATCATCACTGTGAGGTCAGCTCAGCTGGGTAATCTCACCTGAGGCTGACAGTATGTCAGGTCAACAGAAGATGTAGAAGCACCATATGTGAAGAGTGTGGAAGAAAATCAGACAGAAATGGTAAGGGAACTTGTTAGATGTGTTAAAAGTTAGGAACAGAGGAAGATCTGTTGGGTTTTGAAACTCACTTTAGGGTTATGAAGTTCATATTTCTCAGTCATCTGTGTTGCTTCCCATGCTGGGAGGAGCATACCCATAATATATCATTCTGTCAGGATGCTTAGTGCTGCCTTGTTTGCCTTTTTCTTCCAGATTTGCAAGGTTAATCTCCCAAAACCAAAACTTGAGGGTTCTTTTCTGGGTGCAGGAACCACTAACAAAGTGTTCTTGGGTCTGCAGCTTAGAAACTCTTTCTGATTTAGAAGCTGCTCAGTCCTGCTTCTGAAGTGTGCTACATGATGGTGAAATAGCTTTGTTGGAGTGCTGCAGGACTGCCTCAGAAATGGTTCCCATCACAGAAGCCTGCATGTGAAATACTTACAAGGAACATAAAGCCAACATATTTTGATCTGTGCTATCATTTCTTGAGGGTGGGGATCTTGGAAACTTTAGGTTTTCCATTGGTTTTAATATGACCTCCATCTGACAGCATATCAGACACTCTTATAGTAAATGGAGATCTCTTGGCAACTTTTCTCTTTAGGACAGTGAACTCCTGACATTCAACATCTCCCGGCACCAGTCATGGTGGAGTGAAAATGGTCCTGGCTGTGTAAGGAAGGAGGCTTCAATGTCTGGCATCAAAGGGCTGGATAGCCATTCCTACATCTCTGTAATAGGCTGTGCCCTGGAGTATCGGTACATCGAGGTCATGCACAGCTCCTTCCAGATCTTGATCGCGGTGAGTACATCACTGAGAACACTGCGGGGTAGCAATTGTTGACAAGATGCTGCTTGGTTTTATTTTTTTCCAGGCACAGAGACTGGCCCATATTTTCCATCCCATTTTGTATCATCTGATTGCAAAAGCCTCCGTAAATGTTTTTTTGTTTGTTCTCCTGTTCTTTCTTATGAACAATATTGCTTGAAAGAATTGGAAATGGATACCAGCAACCTAACTCCTGAAGTAATGCATCACATACAATAACAAATCATTCTGTATCCCTATTGGGGTGCGGAAAATCATGTTTTGACAAGGACGGAGACCCTTCTGAAGAAGGACTTCTCTTATTCCACATGACTTAGTGATGGGTGACGAAGCACATATGTGCACATTTGTTGTGAAGAAATAAAAGGGAGAAGATCCCTATCTCCAGAAAATGAAAGAAACTTTAAGGAAGCAGGAAGTAGCGTATTTTCTTTCTGCTGACACCTCAGATATATGCACTAAATGTTTTCATCAACTCTATCCTCATTGGAGTCTTCCACAGGCTTTTTAAAGTACCCTGCAGTAATTCAATGTCCTTAATGTTCACTGTTAATTAATTGTTTCTCACTTGTCTGTGAAATTAACTGAAACAAAATGTCCATTGTTCCCCTTACTTTATCAGTACTCTTGTATTTTGTAGCTGCATTAGAGTTAGCAGCCCACATCTTTCTAATCTGCTTTGGTTTGTTACTTTGTGGTTAATGGCTTTAAGTATAAATGGCTTTAAGTGGACTGGTGAAACGTTCACGTTTCAGCTTTCAGTTTTGGCTTAAAGAAGGGTAGCTTGCCCTGATGAAATGTTAGAGGATAACAAATAGAGAAATTCCAAGCTTCTGGAGTGCCAAGTACTTCTCTGCATGTTTTTGGTACAACTTTCCACTGTCTTGATCCTCCATTTCCTATTAGCTGGAATGATCTGTGTGACCAGGAGAGGGGAAGACTCAGACCCCTTTCTTGCCATGTCACAAAAAAGAGGCAGACAGAAGCTCCTGTTTCCTGAGTTGGATGGACTCCCTGGTGTGTGTGCTGGCTATTAATATTTGGTTAGTTCTCCTTCAGGGAGAATGATCTGCATTAAACTGTCTGAGAGTCGCTTCAATGCGTGTGTGTAAGAAAGGCAAACCTATGCATCCAGAAGAATAAAGCCTGTTGTCTTTTATAAAGGGCCGTTAGCTGGAATGGGATTGATGCTGCTGAGCTGGTGGCGTTCCTGAATTTGGTGAAATGATTGACAGACTTTGAAGTCAGAATATCCCAGACTTTTAAAGTGCAGAAGTATGTCACTGTTAGCATCCTTCCTAAATGCCTGAGCTGGCACCAGCCCCTGTGCCCCAGGCTAGAGGTTCAGCCAGCAAATGGTCCTGAGTTTGTTTGGAATAGACCTTTGTTTTATGGCAGCTTACTAACTTAGGCACGTGGCCTTGAGCTAAGTGTTCACACCAATATATAGGAGTCTGTGTCTCTGGGAGTGTTTTCTCCTTTGCTTTTTCCCAAAGGCACATGACAATATTCTGTGAGCATCTGCAAAATGCCACAAAGGGCCAGATGGGGAGACAGAGGAGGGAACTGTAAGATAAAGGATTTAGGTAAATATTTTCTCTCTCCTTCTCCTTGAGACTTAAGTTGCAATGGATTCTTGAATCCTAAACCCTGGAAATGAGGCTAAAATACTTGTATGCAAGAAAGCTGTATGGGCTAAGCTATGCAGAGTGAACTAAATTTCTACTTCTCCTGTAATGAAGGTAGAGTATTGAAGCCACAGGCCTGTAACTCCTGCTGGCTCTGAAATACTCGTATAATTTTGTCACGTAGTGGGAGAAATAGAGCTTTTCCTCTCTGCTTTGCTGAGGTAAGGCAGAAAGCAAGCTTTTCACTTTCTCACTCAGACCTTGCCTGAAAACAGTCAGCCAGTTCTCTCCCTTTTTAGTCTCTGAGGGTCAAACTCTTTGATCCCTGCCAGTACCTTTTTCTGTTCTCTTTATCTCATTTTAAGGCAGATTTTATTACAGGCTGCTGTCCTTCCCCAGAGTGCCTGGCAGGTACTGTGTTGCAGACAGGCAGGGAGACCAGATCGATAGTATAAAAAACATGACTAGGAACTTGAAGGCTCAGGGGATGCAGCAAGGGACATGACCTAGTTCCCTCCTTGTCTGCCACACATTTAAGACTGGAATAGTCAGTTCCCTGTTAAGAAGGGCAAGGGACAGGCAAAATTGTGCTTTCTGCAGCTTTTTGCTTTGCCTAATGGTTTTTAGAAGTTGTGGGGTGGGGGGTTTGTGTGGGGGTTTTTCTGTTGTGGTAGTTTTTTTTTTTATTCCAGATATGGTAGTGTGAAATTCATATTCTTTAACTATGCGGTACCCAGCTGTGGACATTTTGGTTGTTTTCTGGAAGTACCAATTCCTTGAGACTGTTGAGGAACTGTAGTGCACTGTATTGTGTACTTGGGGTAAGGCTCACTGCATTTGGTCTTGCGTGCCAAAGGAGAGGGAAAGCAAACCTGAACCCATATGGTGAGCACAGTGTTGGCTGTCATCTTGACTCCTCCTGACTATATTATCCTGCTCCTGGGCATACATTTGAAGATACATAAGGTCTCAGTCTGCTCTTGCTCAGAGCTTGGGCCTTCTCCTTGAAGGCAAAAGCAACTCCTTTAATCTGGAATGCGATCAAGCTTGGGCATATCAGTCACCATGTGTGATACAAGTAGCTGTAGGGCCCAGTATGAAAATCTTTCTCAGTGCTTTAGCATGGAACACATTGGAGGAAAAAGCTTATTGTAACAACATCTTAAAGTCTGTACGGTTACAGAAATGTCCCTGTAAATCTAGTCCTACCAACGCAATTAGGAAATGCAACAGCAACTGGTTTGTCAAGAAAAGAAATCTGCTTTGTTTTTATCTTAACAAGGATTCATCTTGCATCTCCGCAACTTGCCAGCCAGCGGGGAGAGGAGTGATTTCTAGTTTTGAAATACCTGGCATAGCTCTGGGCTGTCCATATGGTAGTTCTGGGAGTGGGGAGGGTTAGGCTTTTCCTGAGGCTCCATTGAATGGGATGGAAATGGGAAATGTCTTCCCAACTGAGAGAACTCATTGCCTGCCTATCTGCTGTTTTCACTCAGAGTGACAGGTTGGAAGGTTCCCAGGAAGGCGGCAATGCAAGCCTTGACAGCAGATGTTATGTGAGAAGCAATGCACAAGTGATGCTTTGCTGTTGGCAGAAGCTAGATTTTCAGTGGTTGTAATTGCATTCAAAGAATAAAGAAGGTCAAGGAATCAAAGGATTTTGACTGCCTCTTTTTGCTATCTGGTCACAATAGCTCTTTCACAAGCTGGCTTTTTGCTTTCTTGTGGCAGAGATCTCTTTGTTTTCCCCCTCTTGCACTGATGAGAGCATACACACTTCATTAGCTCTGATTAGAAGTGAAACCTAAATACATCCGTCCTGAAGGAGGAGACTCTGCACATATTCTCTGTGGTGGAAAAACCAATGGCAAGTTTTTCTATTGAGAGAAGAGTTGAAGAGCCCAGAATCTTCACTGGGACAGATGTAGACTAAAGCTAAGATTTTACACAAGCAAGAGTAACACCTCCTCGAATTTGCCTTCCCATCCTTCACATATTTTGCATGCTCGCAGCCAGTTGGTCCCTTTCTGTAGGTCTTGCTGTAATTCAGTCTTTCTGGTTCCAGCACTTTAGTTCAGTGCTGTTGTTTTGTGAACACTTTTCAACTCGCTATTAAAAAGTTAACTTCAGATGACTGAGGGGCAGAGGGATGTACAGACTTATGTTTTCCTCATTCCCTTTGGGCACGCTTGTCTCTTCCTGTCTTTCCTGCTCTGTTCATTTGCCTGCAGAATGCTCGGGACATCCCAGCTCCAGCCTCTTTTGTTCGGCAGCATGTGCATTCCCAGGCTGTCTGACAGGCTGACTGAACACACCTGCCTACAACATGTGTTCCTAATAAAAAGCTTAATCGGATACTTCTGCAGCCTGGAGGAAGCTGGTACTAAACATGCAAAACAAGTAGAGAAACAGCAGCAGAGGCTAAAGCCCAAGAACATTCTTTGGGGAATTAGAGTAATAGCTTAGTGTCATTTTACGTCACTGATGTTTTCCCTCCTCTTCCACCTCCCCTACATCATTTGCAAAGATCTAAGAATTATTGCTATTTCCCTGGGATAGTAGAGCTTAAAACAGTCTTTCGTATTGAAATCAGCAACCAAGATGGCACTCTGAGCAAGAGTGAACTTCCAAATTCTTGGCCTCTGTGAAGCTTTCTGTTCTATGTTAACTGCTGCTAAACTTCATCCCCGAGGTGATATGTTTAATTATAGTTTAGGTCAGCCCATATAAAAATGGAATTCATGTTTATGTTGTATGTCTCTTCCTTCCTTGCCACTGAAACACTCCTGTTCTGGCCAGGTCACAAGACTAGTAAAACTTCTTTGAACAAAAAGTGCCATTAAATAAACACTTTTTTTATTGATAAAACTCATGTAAAGAAGGGATGGATTATAAAATCAATAAAAAGTAAATTTTAAACACTAAGCAGGTAATTTTGAAACAAAGCCAGGAGATAGAAGAAATAAAAAAAGAAACCCCTCCACTCCAATGGAGCTGGAATTAGAAATTTAGTGAAGTTCACTTAATTCACTAGCTGTTGGTTGGTTGGTTTGTTTTTCTGAATGCAAAAGGTCACTTTAATCATAAAAGGAAAAAAGTATGGGGTAAGAGGAATGATGGTTGAGGGTTATGAGGCATTAATTTCTGTGCAAAACAAACTTCCCAAGTCAATCTTACTGCTTGCTTGGTGCTTCTTAACCGTGAACAATTTTCAGAGGTGTCCTGGTTTTGGCTGGGATAGAGTTAATTTTCTTACTAGTAGCTGGTATAGAGCTGTGTTTTGGATTTAGTATGAGAAGAATGTTGATAACACACTGATGTTTTAGTTGTTGCTAAGTAGTGTTTACATAGTCAAGGACTTTTCAGCTTCCCGTGCTCTGCCAGGTGCACAAGAAGCTGGGAGGGGGCATAGCCAAGATAGCTGACCCAAACTGGCCAACGGGGTATTCCATACCATATGACGTCATGCTCAGTATATAAGCTGGGGGGAGTTGGGCAGAGGCCAGCGATTGCTGCTCAGGGACTGGCTGGGCATCAGTCGGTGGGTAGTGAGCAATTGCATTGTGCATCACTTGCTTTGTATATTCTATCATTATTATTATTATTATTTTACTTTATTTCAATACTTAAACTGTTCGTATCTCAACCCACGAGATTTCTTTCTTTTACTCTCCCGGTTCTTTCCCCCATCCCACTGGAGGTGGGGGGAGTGAGCGAGCAGCTGTGTGGTGTTTAGCTGCTGGCTAGGGTTAAACCATGACAAGAGGTTTAACAGGTTCCCTGTGACAGTATAGCTGATAATCGTTCATGCACTCTGCCCATAAACTGGGCAGGTAAGTCATTTTCATTGTTAATACTATCAGGAGTTCCCTGACACTGACATCACATAAGGTTTGTGAGTATGTTATAGAGTATGATAACAGTGAATGGATTTAGGGCTGCCACTTTGCATAGCTGTTAACCCAAAGTTCCTACTCTGAGGCATGGTGGAAAATCTGGGGAAAGAGAAAACCTTCCTAGAGTTCCCTTGGAATTAGGGCACACATTCAAGGTACACTTTTCCTGCTTGGATATTTGTGTGTATGTAAATTGCATGATTTGACCTCATATCCTGTAAAATGTAAAAGGCTGGATCTTCATACTATAAAAATGTTAGAGCAAGTACAAAGGATGTGTGTAACCACACTCCTAATTTGATCCTAGGGCAAGAGCAAACACACTTGCATCGGAGACCACTGTGCAGACGAGTGGTTAGACATCTCACTAAATGCTGGGACGGCTGAAGCACTTAAGCTGAAGCACTCCGTTTTTCGAAGAGTATCTAGAAGTGTTCACGTCGTTAGCTAGCACAGCCCAGCTGATGAGCGCTGATTGCTGATTTCGCAGCCAAGTCTACTCATGACGTAAGGCAAGTGGGAGCAGCCTCGGGGGCTGCGTCAGCACCACGGCCAGTTCCTCGGGCCGGGACCGCAGCCCTCCTGCCCGGCTGCCAAAACTGCCCCAAAACTACCACAAACTTCAGAAAGATAAAAAAAATCCCCGGGTTTTCTGTTAGCACAGTACAAGCAATAGAAGAGAAGAAAAATATCTGATTATTCTGATTTTTGGGGGGGTTTGTTTGGTTGGTTTTCGGGTTTTTTTGTCTGCCTTAAAAAGCAATGGTTCTACTCAGAGGAAATTCTAAAAGTCAGCAGGTAAAATTAGACTGGCCATTGCGTGTGACTTTGCAGTTACCATCATGCCCAGAAAGATTTTTTTTTTTTTTTTTTCCTGCATGAAGTCCTCTGTAGCTCATAGAAACTTAGCATGAAGCAGCCCTGGTTTCAAAAATGCACAGCAGGGGCATGAGTGAGTGTGTAGAGCTACCTGTCCTCCACTGAGGTACTGGGATATGCTTCCATAAGGCTCACCCAAGAGGAAAGGAGCGAGCTGGCTTGTCTTTCAGATGATTATAGAAAATTGTAAAGGAAATACAAGGTCTAGTGATGCTGCAAAAACATTCCATTTCCTTCTAACAAGGTGTGTTTTGTCAGGGAGAGCTGGAGAAATCACGAATCCTTATAACTCCCCAGTAGAAATCTCATTAGCTTGCCTTTTGTTTTCAGATGTGATATATTTTTCTGTCATATTAAAAATGAATGGACTCTACTTTTCAAGCCCTACCATGCATCATTCTGTCTTCCCTTAGAGTGAGTCACTGTATGTTACATTCTAACTCTTGTTCAAAAGAATTGAGTTCACAGTGGAAAACAATTATGTCTCACAATAACTTTACTAATACACTTACTGTCAACCAAGATCTCGCTAAGTGGGGTGTTATGTAAGATGTAAAATGAAGGATGGAGAGGATATTTGATTAACAGGAAGAAGGCAAAGCAAAATAAAAACCTGCTAGATCTAGAATGCTTAACTCCCGTAGTACCAGAAGTTTGTTTCTCTAGTCAGGCTGAGTAACAACTCGCTACTGAAATGGAATGAGGCAGTTCTGATGCTTTAGAGCTTCTACAAACCACCAACTAAGGACAGACCCACCAGGCTACTTTAAATTGCTTTTTTAATGTTCACTCTAGTTTTCTGCTCTAAAGACTTCACTGAGCAATGGGTTGACATGAGGGCCACACCATGCCAGGATGGCTGTTACTTGAGAGGCACCCTGTTGTTTTACTGCTCCTTCCCTGCTTCTATCTGCTTCCCAGGAGGTGGCAATATACTGCTAACCTATGCAATTTGTGAATTAAGACCATTGCTATTGTCTTGTCTGTTTCTTACTGTGCTCTGGCCCATTTACTTCGTAGGTCCAATGCTTGATTAGTTCGTGCAGAAGTGTTTATTCTCCAAAGATAGAAAGAACCTGAGAAATTGTAGAGCTAGAGTAAGACTAGGATTTCTTTCCAATGAATGTTTGCTCTCCAAGCCTAAGTTACTAAAGATTTCAGTGTCTCTGAACATTGCTGGCAGTACGTCACCATTTTTATGGTTAACTAAGTTTCTACCTCATCTGCATAAAAACTACTCACATCTTGTTGGTAGCTCCTGCACCAAAGAAACTCCTCTTTCTTTGCATACCCCTTATGACAGCAATATAGAGCTGACCAGTTCTTGTCCCTCGACCTCTGTTAATAAAACCTACCCCTGTATGTCTGTGTGTCTGTCCTGTACGTAGTCTGTCTAAAATGTTACATAAGGCACTCTCCTGCATCCTCATCATTTCTTAGAGAGTAAACTTAGCACAGTAGTTTCAATGTCAACAAAGCGAGCCCATGTTCTTGCCAATCATTCCAGCAACAGCAGGCTGCTACTCTGAAGGTGAGGATGGGTCTTGCAAGTTTTTAGTTTGGTCCTTTGAGTATGCTCCCAACAGTGTCTTCCCTTAAGCCTACACCTGCACCCCCTACCTTAGAGCAAATACGAGTTGGCTCCACCATTACAGTAATGCTGCCAACTTGACAGTAAATGTTGGCTGTTGAAGTCGTGCCAAGTGGGTTTTGACCAGTCTCGCAAGATTGATGCTAAAATGATTTATTCTCTCTATTTTCCAGCTGGTGGGCTTTGTCTATGCCTGTTACGTTGTTAGTGTTTTTACAGAAGAAGAAGACAGCTGTAAGTATTTATCAACAGATCCCTTGGCAAAGTTTTATTAAATTTGATTTCTCTCTCAGATGTTTGTCTGTCAGGACTAAGTTGCCATCAGACTTCTTTCCATCTCTCCATCTATGTGATATGGCACTACTTACCTTTCAAGGATCAGCTGTTTTTACTGAGAGGTTTTTATGTTACCATGTGTTAGATACTGTAATTCTGCTACTCTTTCAGCCAAAAAAGCTTGGTGTTGGCTACTCACTCAGGCTAGGCTTTAGAGAAATTGGGCAGCTTTTTCTGTTCTCAAGCTCATATAGCTTAATGCCACTGAAATATTACCATTGTAATTAGGACTACCTACAACAAAGAATACAGCCTAGTACTCAAGTAGGCCACCTGCTGAGTATCATATGCCACAAGCTGAGGATGAAGCAGAGCATGAGATTTCTTGCCAAGAACCAACCTGACCACTTAATTTAAAAGCAGAGGAAGTACTGTATCTGAATTACAAGGAGAAGGAAGGAGCTGACTCTCACGTTTAGTATACAAATATCTTAAGTGTCATGATATGTGTGAAAGAGCAAAGACTCAGAGGAATGATATGGGTGGTTGGGTCTGTGGGATCTATCCAGATATTTATAACCTGGTCCTGGATTACTTTGCCCTTCTAAAACTCCCTTTGAGAGCAGTAATTTTGCAAACAAAAGAACGGACACATAGGGTTCAAATAAATGGGAAGTCTGATTTCTTTGGCAATGCGTTGCCCTTCTGTGTTTGAATTCTCAGCATGTTTGAATCGGTAAAGTCTTACTGAAATCAATGAGTCTAGGCCAGTTTACTCCAGGTAAGGATCTGATCCAAAGGCTTTATATCTAAGTATCACTTCTTTAAGACATTCATTAGTTTTGTGCAAGTAGCTTTGTTGTTTTAAAGAGCAGCTGGCATGGATTTTAGCTGAAAAACAACAACTTTGAACTCAATATTTGAAAGTATGTGAAGAATGTTGATTTCACAGGAGTGAGATGAGATGCGTTTGCTTATCTGACTTGTCCTCATGTTTTTCAGCTGCTTCCTGTGTGGCTGAACTCATTCTACTGACTTTATTGATCATTTGTTTAGAGCTCGGTAGTGCACTTAGCGGAAGGGCTACATTATAAGTAATATTTTAAAAATTACCCTATAGCTCTTCTATTAGCTAAATAGCTTGAGTTCTGAGCCACTTTTGAATATTGTAAAGTAATAACTTGACAGAGCTCATTTTTATAGCAGGGATCTGTTAGGAGAGGCAACCACATGGAAGGAAGCATTATCTAGAAACGCAGAGTAGTTAATTTCAGGATACATATTTTTTTCCCACTAACAAATTCCTTTTCCCTCCCAGTTTCCCAGCTTGGAGTTAAAATGCCAGCTTGAATAATTAACAATGACAAACCATCAATATTTCACACTCACAGTGGTAGATCCTTCCAGTGACCTGTACAAATTTGAGCTGCGTTTTAATTTTCTCTTCCATTTGTGGTTTCCTTTAAATGTTGCTTTGATATGCAGCATGAAGTAATTATAAGTGCTGAGGCACATTAATCAGGAAGCTCACACTAACGTGATTTTCATGAGAAAATGCTGAATTGTGGGCAAGAATATTTTAGATGTGCTAATGCACTATAATATATTGCAACAATGAACAGTTAAGATTTTTTTTTAAGTGACTTGGATTTTGAGTGTTTCCATGGTTGGGTGCTCAAGGTACTAAACAGTTACTGAAAATTGCAATTCTTTCCTAATTTAGACATTCCACAACTGAGGTAATATAGTTAGTATTTGCTTTTTAAAACTGCAGACTGTCTTGATTTTAAAATACTCAAACTTTTTCAAAGGTGGCTGAGAAAAGGTCAAGTCTCCCTGGAATTACTGGGAATTATCCCCCCACTTAACTTAGAATGTCTACAGATTTCGTCCATTAACTGACAGTTGTTCCAAAATCACTGTATCGGCATGAAGCTATCCATCAAGATGGAATTTGTGAGAATATGTTGTCCTTGGGTTTCTAAATATATTCTAAGAGGCGGGTTTTTTTCACTTCCAATATATTTAGTAAATATTTTTTCTATTGTTCACTTAAAAATACCAAAACTCTTCAGCTAAAATTTAAAATAATAGTGCCACCTTCAGGAAAGAAAAATAAACAGGCATTTATATAGTTAATAAGACTCTCCAGTTATTTTTAAATGGCATTTGAACCGGATAACTTTCGCACTTCCAAACAAAATACACTAACTTGGCACCAAAAAGTGGTCTAAGCTGGATCTATTTTAAAGGTTTTTGCAAGGCCTACCAGGTCAGTCACAAGTCACATCACATCATGCCCCTACTGACCTGGCTATGTTGGCCAGCTCAGTAATATAGACTTGGCCTAATTTCAGGGGAACTAAGAGAGGCTTGGAAAATTCTTCTATGGTTACTAACGAAATTGTCACTTAAAGCTTTCCTTGTTTAGTTACATTGCCCTTATGTGAATACTGGAGAAGGGAAGCATTGTTCCTATTTGTATACAAGTAAAAGCAATTGAGTTGGCAGATAGGACGTGAAAAATATCAGAGCTGAAGATAATGAGGTATTTGCAGTTTTCCAAAGCTGCTGTTGTCTGTCTTGCAGGAAAGACAAGTGGGGCAAGAAAATTCCCACTTGACTATATAACCTTCATGGGGATTACTGTGCTGCCAACTTCTCCGGGGGCATTCATTCATGAGCCATTCTCCAGCTTCCTTCTCTCAGCACATCGCTGAATGGCTGAGGCTTTGTCAGCTCAGTTCTCGTGTGAAGTCACAGCATGGTGGCAATATCCAAGGAGGCTGAGGGAGGCCCTCTTGTTTTTCTGGAGTCTTTTGTTAGCTCTGTGCTTTAAGTCTTGTGTTAGCTGAATCTCCTCCTTGGCACACTTGCCCATCCCAGGAGGTCCTGGAAAAGAGGTCTGTACAGGCAGAGATTTCCACCAGGCAATCCATACCTGAAAAATCATTTTTCTGTTCTCTCACTAATTTTTGTGTTATGCCATGACATGCACCAACTTTCTCTTTCATTTCCTTTCAACTTTCTGGCCATGTTTGTTTGTTTATTTGAGTTTTGATTTTTTTTCAGTTGATTTCATTGGTGGATTTGATCCATTTCCTCTCTACCATGTCAATGAAAAACCCACCAACCTTTTGTTCAAGCAGACATACCTGTAAGTATCATCTCCTGTGCTAAGAGGCTATGCATGCCTCTTAGTTTTATGGCTCAAGGGTGCCACAGGTTTGCGTTTTTTCCTCCTTGCAGGCTGATTTCTCCAGCAGGCTTTTCAGGCATGGAAGGAATGAGCAAGGGGACACCAGAAGGGGTAAAACTGCCTCTGCTCAGCCCTAGGTTGCCAGGGTGAAGCTGGTGTTGCCGTACTTGGCTTATGGCAGTGCTGTTTGATAGGAAGCAGCGGGGCCAGCTGTAGGATGTTACTGTAAACAAACTGCTTGATGCCTTTTCCTTGAAGAAGCAGAGAGGCTTTTCAGCAGTGAATGGTGCCCAAGCAGGTAAAGGTAGGAGCTGTGAGGAAGGACGAGTCAGCCTCAGTGGATACTGAGAGTAAGTCGTAGCGATAGCAGAATATGAATCTCAATCTCAAGGTTAAATTGTGGTCTGTCAGGCAGAGCCTCAATGACAAATCTCTACTGGGGTAAAATGTATGCAACATCTAGTTATTTAAGCTGTATTTTAGCTCTGTGCACAGACAATCATAACTGAACTCTGACCTATACATCCATGCAATTTTGATCACTGGCCATGTCTTTGTCATCCTCCAATAATCTTCTCATGGTAGCACCACAAAATTTGACTCTGTCTTGGATACAGGGTCTCCTTGTATCTGCTTGTACTTCTAGGGAACCTGTAGGGTGCAGAGCTAACACACCAGTGAACTAAATTAAACCAAGCATTAGATGGTTTGTATGCAGGATAGCACAGGTTTGCTCTTAAGGTTTCATTTCTTTTGTTAAATTCTGTTGCCTACAAGAACAGAGGCTTCTATGTGTGGGGCATTCCAAGAGTTCAGCTGAGAGCAGGGAGCAGAAAGGGGAGTTGTCTACAGCAGCTCCTCTCATACCACTAATAGAGATCCATTGTTGAATTCCAGCTTCTGCCCTCTGATAATCCCTCCCCACTGCTGAAGGCACAAGATCACACTTTCACGCAGTCCACTTAAAAGCTGGTTCTTAATGAGATTCTCAAACATAAAGGCCAGTATTTTCTGTTTAAAGCAGCAATAAGATCTGAATTTTTGATACAAGCTGCAAGAAGGCGGTTCAACATGCAGAAGACTTTTAAAGCAGCTGCTAAGGGAGGTTGTTTTTTGGGAATAATGTTACCAGAGAGTCCTGCCAAAAAGAAGGATGTGAGGATGGGGAAGAAAAGTGGGGCTGAAGGAAGAAAAACTGCCCCCAAATAGATTTGTAGATGCCCCCCGCTAGTGTAGCATGGACTTACTACCCACTTTGTCACTGCAGCACACGACCAGGACAACAAGTAATTTTTGCAAAGCAGTTAAATTCCCTGTAACTTTGGGGGTGCAATAGCATTATTAGATGGGATGCTACAGGAGATTAAATATTGATTTCCCTCTCATTTTGTCACAGTGGGATGGAATTTTCCATAGTCTGCAGAAGCTGGGGAGCTTTAAGCAGCTCTGTGATTTACTAGCTTGATACAGCAAGAAGAAACATCACACTTTTACAGTAGGGGGCTTGGGCTGTTTTTTTCTTAAAATGACAAATTGTATTTGTGAAAGAAGCTAGTACTTAGAAATGAAGTTTTCTATATGGGAAGATTGTAATATGAACTGAAGCTAGCAATGTAAAACTTCCTTACAAGGGTCTCGATAAGATGGTAAGCTACTAATGAAGTACACAGATAATTTTGTTGTTCTTCAGTCCCATTCTTCACACCATCACTTATCTATTGATAGCTTCTGCCAACACAATATAATATTTCTTTCTGGCTAACAGGAGATGAAAACAGCTGCTGAGCAAGTAGATAAGGTGACCCCCCATAAATTTCACAGCAGCCACCAAATAGCAATTTTTGTTTATTTATTTCAGCCTAGCTATTGCCCTTCTTCCACATGTATGAATGAGAGTGAGAGGAGGAACAGATACTTGATTCTCAACTAATGATGCCATGGAGTTTTTCGGTCTGGAGTACTGAGTGCCAGATGCCCTTGCCCTGCTGTGAAAATCATTTGATGATGATTGAAGGCATTTTCTTTTTTATATCCTATTCAAGAAGATGCAAAACAACAAATACATCCAAATTCTTTCAAGTTTAAATTTATAGAACAGCTAGGGGTCAGGAACATGGACTTTCTGTTTTTAACTCCTTTTTGTTGAAGGAAATGCTGAATGAAACCAAATCTATTCTATAAATACTGACTTAGAGCTATCTGCAACCATGAACTTTCATTTTAGGATGGCATCAGCCCATTGTCAGTAGTTAGCTGCTCTCCTGATAATGCACTTGCCCTGTTGCCACAACTCTTTAACAGGATCGCTTTCTTCTATTCCCTGATAGAATTATCCTATTCACTCCAGTTTTATCTATCCTCTTCTGATGAGATCACTCTCTTTCCTCACCTCCCAATGTGCCCTTTCCCTTGTCCTGGCTTGCATTTTTCCCTAGTCTCTCTTCTTCATCTCTCCAAATTTACAAATTTTCATAGATCTGAAGGCCCTACAGAACAATGACATTGACCTAGACTGATGTGCATAGTTTAAGTCCAAGACCAACCCCTATAACCTCTGCATTAAGCATGCAGCCTATGAGTTAGATAACTTAAATATGCTGTCACAGTTCAAAGATATTAAAGGGAGACTGCTGTGTTCCTTGGCAGCCTACTTCAGTGGTTATCAGCTGCTAAATTCAGTATTCAAAATGTACGTTCCATTTCTGGCCTTCAGCTTCCATCCACTGCACTGAGAAAAGTTCTTAAATACCTTTGCCTCCTACTAGGAGGAAAAAACATCTCCCCAAACTATTAGTGATAATACGTACTTCCAGCCCACAGTCCAGTTATCTCCCAGCTTTATCATGGTAATCTACTGACCTCCTTGACTTCAGTTGCAAGTCTCCAGTTTGTGGAAAACCTCACAAATTATCAACAGCTAGGTGTTATTTTTCTTTTTTAAAAAAGCCAACAACAACAATCAACCACCAGTCTTCTACTGTTGCTTAAAAAAGCATGATTTAAGTGTGCTTCATCTTAATTAGCACCTCCAACACTCACATAGCAACAATGACATTTTATAAATACAGTTATTTCTGTTTCAGGTTCCACGACTGCTTCTGTTCTGTATTTCTTTGACTCCAGGGGGGTTTGGTTGTGTAGTTCCTATTTCAAGTCACAAGCTTAAGTAAAAGAGACTCAAATTATCATGAAAAAGTTGTTCTGAAAGTTTACTGTGTAATAGAATTGCCCTTAATCTCACTGCTGCTTACCAATCAAGGAACTGCACTAATTATTTAATAATAATTTATTAGGAATCTCGATAGAAGATATGCTAAAGTCTTCAGCACATGAGTTTCTGGGTCAAAGTACTTAGCTAAAGGATAATAAATCACTTACTGAAAACCAAAGTTATTCTCCTGAGGCCAAAAGGGAACATTTCCAATGAGTTTTCAGGAAGGAAAGGCTGAGCTCTTACCCTTCCTTAGCTAAAGCTCAAATTCAGGCCATGCCTGCTTGCACCACTGTCTCCTCTTAGGCTGCACAGGACAGGACATCAGCTCCAGGTTGCTTTTCTTCTTGTTCACTTATAGTAACAGAATTCTCATCATTTGCAGCAAGGAAGCGTTCTTGCACTGTTAACTGTGGAAGGGTTAACTTCCTTAGCTTTGAAGTTTCTGACTAAAGCTGTTATCTCCAAGTACCCTGCAATACCTGCCAAGACAGTAGGAGGCCCAGATCATCATAGTTTGTCAGCACTTCCTGCCTGCTGCATCCATTCAGTCTTTTGACATCATTCTCTGTTTCAGAAAGAAGCACTGTGCAGTCTCAATTTTAAAGCAGAATAATCTCAAAGCATGATTTTGTACATGATTTAGGCTAAATCAAGAACCCGCCAGATGACAGGAGGTAGCCTCTATTTATTTAAAAGATAGAGAGATGGGCAATAGCTCTCCCTGCCTTTAAGACTGTATTTATACAGCCAGACAGTGACTTGTGCAGTTGTGAGGTTCCTGTCCATAACACTCACTGTGATCTGGCACCCCAAGTACTACATTATATTTATGGCTTAAGAGCTTTAATTTTATTTCAGTTGTGTAGCCAGATTTCACTGACTGCTTTCCTCAGATCTACCAGTGGAAAGGACCATAGGGTAACATAGGGTGTGACTTTTGTCAGATGTAGACTTCAGTATTGATAGGGTAGCAACAGGAGGCATTGGTTAATTGAATGATCTAAGGCTCCAGCTGGTGATTGCTCACTTTAATACTCCCTAATCAATTCTTTTGTGGTGCAGTCTATCTGCTAGCCATAGGCATGAAGCAGCTGTGAGCATGCAGCATTAAAGAACTAGACCCCATGTAATAGTCATCCACTTATAGGTTGAAAGTAGGTTCTTCAGTAGATCAACTGACAGGTACAAATAACATCCCTCAATTAAAAAAAAAAAAAAAAAAAACAAACCAAAATCCAGACTGAAACACCGGGTGAGAGAGAGTGGGGAAGAAACTAAACTCCTTTAGGATTGTTTTCCCCCCACCCCCTCCAAACTTTGTTTGATGACCAGAATACTTTACAAAGGAAACTTTTACTTGAACAGGAAAAAATCCCACTTTGCTTTGAGGAGAGGGGGGGGAAAAAAAAAAAACAAACCACACACAAAACAAAATGCTTCTGCTTTTCTTTTAGGTAGACTTTTTCCCAAACAATTTGCTGAATATCAACAGGAATTTGCAAACTGTTTTGATCAACCTGAAGCTGCATTTTTAAGAGGTGATGATGTTTCAGTTGAAAACATTCACTCATCTTTACTGCTGGCTACAAAAGTAGATCTGCTTACACTGCTGCATCTACACAAAAAGTACATCATCGCAATTTCAAGAAGCTACTTGATATTCTAGAGATGACCCCTAGCTTTTAAAATTCCTAACTAAATTTTATGCAGCTCCAAATGCTGAGGATACGTAGAGCTAACACTTTGGCTCATATCTATTCCTTAGTCTAACTGCAGTATATTCAGGTTTGGTATACGCATAACATTCTTTCCAGACTTGAAGACTACTTAACCACATTACCTTTGAGCTCTCAATCTGATTCCTCATCTGTATTTAAAAACCCAGAACAGGGGGGGGGGGGAATCAAATTTGTCCTCATTATTTCCACACCATTTCTGTTAAGTAAGCAACTGAGTACTTGCTCCACATTGATGCCCTGCCTTCACTTTTTTCTCCTCCTGCAGGCCTGCGTAAATAAAGAAGTAGCAGAGGATGGATAAGCCTTGCACTCCACCATCAAAGGTGCTGCAGGAAATAATCCCCTGTGGCCTGCATCTTTGGCAGAGGAAATGCAGGATGGTGAACTCCATCCCATTTTTTGTTCCTTGTCTTCTTTTCAAATGCAATGACTGTACATTGAAGAATGGCCATGTGGTTGGTTTTTAATTCTCCAAGTGCCCTGACGAACCTTTCCTATCATAGTCTGGTGGTACTAGCCAATAAATGGCACAGGCCTGAAGACCTTGGGCACAACAAGTTCACCAAGAGCCTCTCTCAAGAGATACAGTTGATGTCAGAGCTGCTTCCTTGCGCCATGGATCCATAAAGAAGGAAGCACTGCATAACACCCTGGGACATTTCATATGTTTTGTAGTTAGCTTCTCGCCGTTCTCCTTTCCCTTGTTCCAAAAAAGAGCCTAAATCCCCTAACACAACTTCATCTCCCCCCTGCCTGTATAGAACTAGGTGGGGGCTATTTACATTTGAGTTATTTAGGCTTTTTTTTTTTTAAGTTATAGTGAGAGCTCTTCCCTTCTCTTCCACCCCTCCCCACCCATCCAGGACTCCCTTCCTCATTCTCTGTTCTTTAGACATGGACAGCACCTTAGCAGTAGCCATTTGTCCTGGATTTCAGTGTTCTGTGACCTAACTCCTATAATGCTGAACAGCTAAAAACTACTACAATCAGCAAATCTTTACTCAACATGGAACTTAGCCCCATTTCAACATGCCAAGCCATTCTCAGAGCAGCTGTAGCTTACTCTGGGTTTGCCCATCTACATTAAATTAACACTGGTGTAGCCATATACACAGCTGAAACCTGCTGCAGGGCACTGGAAAATGCCTAGTTCTTCATGGATCACAGATGGTTTTCTACCTGCCTTCTTCACTGAGCAGCCACGCTTATTCCAGGCACAAGCCTGGCAACATCCTGATGGAAGGTTTTTTTTTGTGACAGGATAATTTTGAGGGGAGGGAATGGGCTGAAGGAAAGGGGGAATATAAGTATAATTAAGTTGCATTAATGAGCTGCAGCAATTAATTAAAAAAAAACAAACAAAAAACAATGTCACTTTTGTTAGCTACATCTCCCAGCATGTTAGGTGTCAAGCAGAAAAGAGCACTTGTGAGCCATCCATGGCATTCTTTGGCTGGTACGTTCCAAGTGCTGTTGTAATTCTTTATTGTCTTACCTAATCTGTTTGAGAGTACTTGGCATTTTTGAGTAATGCTTTTCAGAAGAGTCAAGCTAAAAGCCATGCAAGGGAGGGAAAGTGTGAGGGAAAGAATTAAAAGAAATTAAAACATTAAGTGCTAAGTCAAAGACAGAACGATGCACCTTTCTTTGTCCCATTCCAAAGGGCCCAGGAAGCAAAATCCTTTTCTATAAACCCAAAAGTATAAGCACTAAGAGAACATTTTTTGTTTCTGTGCAACTTCCATTCTAGATACCCACTGCAACCTAACACCCTGAGCTCTGATCAGGTGCAGCTGTAAGTGAAAATGTTGTCCTCTATAGGTTATTTCTCCTTCTTTTAGCCAGTAGAAGCCACAGCTTCTGACGGAGCAGAACAGACAGCAGACAGTTGCTGGTTTGATACTAGTTTCATCATTTGAGGAAGAAAAAGCTCAACCATCTTTAAAACAGCTCTGCCTCCCAAAACATAACTACCTCCCATATTAGTCAATACCGTGTTGCTACAAAGTTAAACAATCTCTCTCTCTCTCAGTGGAACACAAGCTACTACACCATTTAGACAGCATGCGTAGCAGTGTGCATACACAATCTCTTAGCATTTCTCCACCTCTTCTTTGGTTCAGTTCATTTCTGTATAGCACTCATTTCTACTTGCCCACCTGATGTTCCCTGGAGGGGCAGAAAAAGAAATGGAAGAATACATATCCTCTAATCAATGAGATTGTTCCATGAAAGACTTCATTTATATGGGGTTTTGAAATTAATCTTCCCTTTCCTCACCAGAAAACACTGACTTTACACTTTTTGGTTTAACACAATTTCTTTTCCTCAAAGAAAAATGTTGTCTATTAGACACCAGCATTCTTTATTGGCTTTGTTTAAGTGCAACCAAAATTCAGCACAGATGGTGGAGAAAGCACAGTTTCAGCTTTGAACAGCTGAAACATTTCACTAGTAGTTTCAGGAAGAATTCTTCTAGATGGTAGTATGAAGTCAGAAGGAACTCTCTGAATTATTTTGAGGTCTGCATGTTTTTAACACTGTACATCTCAAACTGACCAAGCCTCGACACCACATTTACTAAGACGACTGATCAAAAACACTTGCGAAGTACTCTAAAGAGACTAAGCATCAAACTATGCACTTAACGGCATGCCTCTCGACTGTAATACACACTGGTAAAGATCAATTAAATAAATACAAGTGTGATGACAGAGTAGCTCCATAACTACCACCCTATGTTATGATGAACACAGGTAATTAAGTATCTTTTAATAGAAGTAAAATAAAGTTTCAGGTAAGCCTATAATATTTAGTATGAATGACTGCCATAAATCATCAAAAAAAAAAAAATCAGTCTGAGAAGAAAGAAAATAAGACAAGCTACCAAGGATCATATTCCACACTTGGTTACCTCCTTTAGTTTTCATTAGCAGAGCCATTCATCCTTCATACTCTGACAACCCTTCCTCCTGGTCTGCTTGTGCTAGACCTACTCTACGCACTGCAAGGTCATGTGATGACCCTGTTCTGTTAGGGTAGGGACTCCCAGTCATTTGCACCTCCAACGTGCTGTAAGGGTAAGGAGCAGCTGAAGGTTTTGCTCCAGTGCGTTCCCTTATCACCAGGTTAGGAGTGCCCTCTATTGGGGATAGACATCACTTGAGATACTGTCAAAAAACAACATGTACCTGTTTCTGAAGTGACATCTTCCCATAGAAAAAACAGCTCCACCCTTCCAGATGTGGAAAAACCACAATTTTCAAAGTGTTAAATAAAAGAAGCCCCAGAAACAGCTGGTATATTTACAGCTTGTAGTCCTGTTAATGCTCAGGCTAGGTTTCAGCCACACTGAGCTGGTTTTGTTTTCCCCTTCTCAGATTAGCACATCTACTTAAACTGTAAGCTTTTGCTGTTATTTACAGAGGCAAAATAAAGCCAATGATAGCTTGAACCCAGACACAACACCTAATTTGGCATGGTGATGCAATTCTGTTCCCTATGAAAGCTGCTGTCTGGCAAAGACCCACCAATTCCTCCAAGAGTTGGAGAGTTTAAAATGCTCAACTAGTAATTTCTCTCATCTTTGCCAAGAGCTGCATTAATATTACCTTCTTCTGAAGGGAAGGATGAAGAGATCTGCCCTCCCACATGGCCCAGGAATAACTGACACCTTGAAGTTACTCAGAGACAAGCCTATAACCCTGTTCAGTATCCAGGGCTGGAACCAAACAGAAGAAGCTTCAGAGCCAGTGCTCCAGTCTCCGCAGATGTGTTTAATGTACAAAACTTTGCGTCAAGTTCAGATGCAGAATTATTCCCCACTTACACAGCTTCATGTATCGGGTCCTTATCTTCCTGCATCCTTACCCCTTCTATTGCAGTTAAGAGAGTCTGGAGGACCCACATGCCATCTTGTGAATTCCAAAGGAAGCTAATGGATGGTAAGAACAGTTGCTTCTCTCATTCATGCCCACGTAGTACTGAAGGACAGAAGTTCAAGTGATCTACAAACTGATGCCGTGCTAACATCTTACGATACCACCACACCCCCTCCCCCAGTAGGGCATTATACTAGAATCAGATACTCAGACCTTTAAGATAAACAAAAGAAAAACTTTTTATTCCATGAAAAAGAACAGTTAATTTAAAAAAAACATATTTCCTTTCCCCTGCAGTTAACAAGCTATAGTATTGACAAAACTTTCTCTTTTTGGCTACATGATAGAATGTTCCATTTAAAATAAGAATCATCAGTTTAGTCAGCAAACAGAAGTCCTGTAAGTTTCCATAGTTATCTTCTAGTAGAATAGTACCCAACAGTCAGGGAAGAGGATCTGCAAGAAGCTTCCATGAGATCATCTAGTGACGCTGACCATCAAAGGGCCTTTCACCTTCTGTCTAGGGAGGTCAGCTGAGAGTAAAGTGGTTGGGGAGTCTACAATAGGCCAGGCTTTTCACTTAGTTATGTGGATTTGAGTATTACTGAAGCATTCCGTCAATTGTTGAAAATTCAACAAGTGGAGGGAAAAAAAAAAGACAGCAAAGAGCTCAGAAGAAAAAGCTAGATTCTCCCTCCCCCACAATACATTGGCTGCTGAGTATTCTAGTCTCAACGGAATGCATTTTGTATAAAAATACCCCCATTTTGACTCAGACTTACTGAAAGAAGCCATCAACCCTAGCAGAATAATCTCTAAACAACAGCTAAATGAGAGAAAAAGAACCAGAGACAGACTACTGAAAACAGCCCTTGATTTCAACATAGAGCAGGGATTCATTTGAGAATGCAAGAATTTGAAGAAGGAGAATCTCTGTCAACAAAAGCCTCTTTTTGGAGGACAAAAGAAACCAGCAGAGTTTTTCTGGAGCAGTCCCACAGCAAGATCAGCAAGAGTACAGCAAACCAGCAACGCTTACTAGAAACACTGTGCATAAGAGGCACATTTAGTAAGTTTTTACACTTATGCCAAGCTACCCTGCAAATAAGATTACTCCAGCATCAATTGAACTATTTACTTATTTTCTTCCTCTGCTGTGTTATTAATGAGTTGTATAGACTTATCTTTCCCTTAGGCACATCATGGTTCAGGACATGAAAGTCCTCACACTTCCCCGGATGACTGCTCTGCAGATAGGACACAATCTCAAATTGAGGGCACATTCTCCACAAGCTACCAGGTGGCCACAAGGAACAAACACAACAGACACATCTCTGTCCATGCACACTTTGCACATCCTTTCCTCTTGCAGGCGTCGGAGCTGTTCTTCTGTGCTCATCCGAGACTCATCTTTACCAAAAAAAGAAAAAAAAAAAGCCCAAACTGTTAGTATTATGACAGGTCCAGAGTGCCAGTCCTGTCATCTTAGGAAGTCACACTGCAACTTGCTCATCATTTTGTTCAGAGACTGACTGTGAAGATGGCAAATTTCATTTAAGCTGAAAAACTACAGCTATTATAGACTCTGGCTTATCTACACAAGATTCAGCATATCTACACATGCTGGACTGAGCAGGGACAGAGATCAACATCTTTTTACTGTAATATGTAAATTATCCCAATAAACCGAATTTTTTGTATAATAGAGTTCCACTGTGAAGCAGACTAATTCCTGAAAAAGGGTCTCTATGTTCAGTTATCATTCAAGCTAGCACACATTGCCCTTCCGGATGAAAAAAAAAATGAATGAATACAACGACCAACTGATACCATTACTATAAAAGCCACCCCAATTATGCCTAGGCTCAATTTCACCACCACTGTCAGCCCAGTGCACCTGATTCCTTTTGTTGCACAGATTGCATTTCTTCTCTTAAACTTGATGTTTCAGTCTCTCTCTGAACAGCATCTGTATAACCAGGAAAGAAGATGGCATTAAATGCTACCCCTTTCCTCCCTCTTCAGACAGTGCTGTTTAAAAAGATTAAATATCCTGGATTTCAGTAGCCTTAGGTCAAACACCTCTTTACTCTGCTGTTAACTTCACACACTCAGCCTGGTGAAGCTGATGTTCTCTGTGGTGCTTTAGTCACCATGTATGTCAACCTCCCTACCAAGACATATCCACATCACATCATCTCCCCAGCAAAGCTGGTTTATCTATCAGACATCAGGAGCCATCAGTTGCTCGTTCCTACTCCTGTGCTACTTTTTAGTCACACTTTTTTTTTTTTTTGCCTTAGCTAAAGAGATGGCAGACCACAATATGGAGACAGAAGCTTTGGAAAGCAGGCTTGCTACCAGAGAAAGCCTGTGTGGAATTGCATCTTCAAATAAACTTCACTTGGCAAACAGACTCCATAAAACAGATAACACAAGACAGACATAGATAAGTTAAGGAGAATATATATTATCCAAACAAACAGGAAGTATGGCTATTTCTGATCAAGTCATTGATTCAATTTTAAATAGGCTTGGAGTACTCATCCATCCTAGAAGCGTTGCTTTCAGACAACTGCCTCTGTATCAGATGTGAATTTGTGCACAAGCCTCCACATCGTGCAGCTGTCTGCTAGTACAGGTCTAAGGGCAGCAGAAAATATCGAGGATGTCTACACCATAGTCTATTGGAGGCAAATATAGTTACTGATACCCCAGTAATCACAGCTCCTTCAGGTTTCTTTAAAGCAGATCCTCATTCTTGAGCCTCTCAAAGAAAGGCCGGCTTGGGTACATTACTATTCTTAATTCCAGCCTAGGAAGAGAGAAGGCAGACCCGCAAGACACTCACAATAGTGCTCAAGATGAAGTGAATAAGAAGTTAAACATCCACCAAGAATGTGGGTGTGCGAGTCAGGCATACCTCTGCTTTCCTCTGCACTGCTGCTCTCTTCCCAGTCTGGCTGAAGCAGATCAGAAATCAGTTCAGACTCAGAAAGGTAGAAAGTCCCAGTCAGCACGTATTTATTCTCTACCAGGTTAGCCACCCAGGTGGGGTCAAAGCCCATCTGCAGGACATTCTGCACTATGGTAAACTGATCCAGAGAAGGAGGAACCTGCAATTCCCAATTCCTCAGAGGATCTGTAAAGCAGTGAACAGATGCTTGACTAAAAAGGTGGAACTTTGGGCAAGAAGTATGCCATATAAAGTGGTATTAATATATTCTAGGACATTCCTCAAGCCGTCTGTATAGCTAGATCAACATCCAGATTTACAGTTTTTACTTCCAATCATAATTCACAAGAAAGTAATCAAAAGCAATGTCATAAAAACCAAGAGACTAATTTTGGATGGTTTATTCTACTGTATCAGTGAACAAAGTCTCCCATGTTTGGCCCCAGTCCAGAATCCTTATCTTTGTTTTCACATCCCAGAACAGAAGTCTCAAAACTGCTTTCATGAAGATCAAGTGGAACATTCCAACTGAAGTCTCTCCTACCTCATAATCTAGCTCAACCATTCATCAGTAAAGCTAGAAGTGGGAAATTCAGCTGGCAGCCTGTTCAAAGGCTTAAGTCTTTCTTAAGCTCATCCTATCAGATAGGCTTTTCAAGAGAATGAGAAAAATCAGTTTTCCACAGCTGTGGGAGCCAAATTTCACCTACTTAAATTTCCAGGAGCAACTGATGCAATGGGAATAAATCCCCAGGATCAACACTTTCATGAACAACTGGACCCTCTAGCTGTTCTCTGGTCTCCTATGTTTAAAATGCTGTAGTCCAAAAGACTCTACAGACAGACAACAACATCAAGAGCATGGACAAGTCAAAGGAAGGTTACGTGAGCACCCAGAAGTCACATGATTATCCAGACTAGCTAAATGTCTCTAGTCTTAGACAAAGAGGTCTCAATAAGAGCAAGCAATTTTGCTTCTTGTGCTAGACACCATTTCCTAAAAATAGAGTGAAACAGCTTCTAGAATATCAAAACATCTCTCAAACACCATGTCTACAGAGTGCATAGTAGGCTGGGGTGGGATAGAAGTAAGAGTACACCACTTTCAACAGAAGACAAACCACCATGTAATTAGAGCACTGACCTTGGGAAGCAGAGGAATCTTCTTCAGTCTGATCCCAGGAATCTCTCTGAAAATGTCACAAGAGAGTCACACACGAGAAGCATGTATTCAAAACTCCCCCTATCTACCAAACCCCCATCCACTATACACAAAATATTCATGACTCACTGGAGATAGCAGGGTGCTAGAAAAGGACTCCTGAACACTGCTAACAAAATCTCTCCCCCTCGACCGCAATAAAAATTCACACCTATAAGCAGAAAGATTTAAATACATTAGTACAGGATATCTCAAGTGAAAGCAGCAGTAGTAGTTTGAATTCTAGAAGCAAAGGGTGCTATCGGATTATGAGCAAACTGCTATATTCGTTAAAGAAGAGGGAGTATAATGGTCTCTCTTCCCCCTCCTTGCACAAAGGGCAACAATAAGAGGCTCATGACACCCCCCCTCAATTCAGTCTTCATGTTTGGCCCAAGATGAGCTCAGCTGCAATGTCCTTTGGAACAGATCACAGAAAATGTGATAATAGACTAGTTCACAGAAAAACACAAGAGCTGCTACAGAAAAACAAGGTTTACAATATCTTTCTTTTTGTAGCTCAGAGTAGTAGAAACCAAAGCTGTTCTTTGATATCAAAGAAACTGATTTTAATTGAACTTTCAGATGGTGAACTGTAGGTCAAATTAGAAAATCCCAGGTATGAACTGTGCCATTCTAGCTGAGCTTGAACATTTGATTTTGCTTTTAAAGTGAGAAGGTCTAAACATTTAGGCTTTCTCACGTCTATTTGTACAGTTCTCTTTTAAAAAAACTAGTTACAGCTTAGACAACCATCCAGTAGGTTTCATCACTAACACAGAACACTCCAGTGATAAATCAGCATTTGGAACATAAGATGTGGCAATGCCTGAGAAGAAGCCTAAAAGGACTGAAGCCAACCGTCCTGGAGTCAGCAAACTATTGTAAGGGATAACACATACAAAGAGACACCAGACACACATAAACTATTTTTGGGGGAGGGTGGAAAGGGAGAAACAGAAAAGGAGAGGCAGTTGAAGATACGATGATTAAGTTTTAAGGCCAATCTTTGGTTCTCCCACATGTGAGGGGAGAATGGGAAGAAGGCACTTTTGGAAGACAGTACAGACTAAGTGGTCCTATCCTGACCCACTACTAGGATCTGAAGATGGTCCCTTGCTGTGCAACTTTGATCTTGAGGATTCAGAACCTCTCTCGAGATTTCAGGGATTTCCAGAAGGTTACAGACTACTGCAATGGTTTATGCAGTTAAACATGATTGAACATACCTGACTAGCTTTTCACCTGCTCTAGCCAGGTAGAAAAATCTAGAACCAGAGCCTGGAAGCAGTGCTTACCAGTACACCTGTTGCGACTCATTTGTCTCTCAACTGGGGGTACTTGTATCTTATGAAAGAAGAAATCAGTGTGGAATGCTCGGCATATCTTTTGGTCTTGCTATGAGACACATTTGTCAACCAAGACTGACTTACCCCGGATACCATTTGGCATGTTCCCTCCAAGGATCATCTCCAAACGACCAATTCCTCACACCTCCATCACAGTAAAAACACCTCACTACATCACCTTGTCCTGAAAAAGACATCAAGAGATTATTTGACATCTGAGACACTGTATGCTCTACTAGCCCCGGATGAGAACAGGGGGAGAGATTCAGCACAAAACACCCCTCAGAACAGATAAGCAGATGACAATTTACCAACACTGTGCAAGCTGTATAGGGGCAGCAAATCCGATGAGAGTTTAAACTCCCAGAGCTGTGGCTGGTTGAGATGATTCCAGAACTGGGTCACAAGCTAACAGGCAGCATGCACGTGAGCACCATAGCTCCCATGTATGCACATACCTATCCAATCCCCTCTTGCCTGCATTTAGAGTAGAGCTGTAATTAATTATACCTATAAACATACTTTGTTTCCTAACCACAATCTGCCATAACCAGCAGCAGGCACAGTCAGATGATGTAAACAGCTTCCATCTCACAGGTATAAGAATTTGCCACAACATGGTCCCAGGCTACCCATCCTTCTTCTGTGCTTCTCTTCACAGAAATCACGGGGGGGCGGGGGGGGACGACCAAAGCCACAGTTAAGAACAACGGCCTACAAATGCCTTGCCCTAAGGGCAATGAAACAATGTCAGTAAAGGTTGCCAGTGAGTTTGGGTCAGAGACACAACCTTTCAGACACTCTCGTGTTGGAGCACTGTTTGGCTTAAGTCAAGTGCTCAGTTCCAGAGTTCTCCTGCTCAAGTGACCGCAGGGGAGTGCCACGTCAGACTGCTGCTGCCTAATGAGTCCCCAAAGTAAGCCCCTGTGCTGGGTTCTCAAACAGCTGCTCTGCAAGTGATAAATCAAGTCCAACACAAAACACACAGGTTTTGTGCTGCAGACACTGCTTTACAGTTTATTCTGTGTTCCTGGCCATGCTGGTCTTTTGTGTGCCTTAAAAATTAATAAAAAGACAAAAGCAGCAGATAAGCTAATATGCCTATAATGCTCTTCCATTTAGGCATGCATGCTGTTTAGCCCCTGCTACTGTGCTCCACGTAGACAGCTACAGATTCTTAGTATTAACTAGATTTATAGCAAGATCCAGGTTATGCAGTTTCAGTGAAACCTTGCAGAAGGGAAGAGACATACCAGCAAACTAACCAGTCACTTCCTCTAACTCAAGCTAAAAGAACAGAAGGTCCGTTATTTAGACAGACTTTCTTATGTGCATGTCATTCACTGTGTTGCATCTCAGATTTTTCCAGCTATCACAACATTTAAGCCTGTTTTTTCCCATTTCCATCTTTACCAACAAATAGTACTTAAATAAGTGGAGAAAGGGGCAATTCAATTTTACTTCAACAATGAAAGCATGAGGCATTCAGGATGCACAAGTTTGTTTCTGCTAAGGGACCTTTACTTTGTGGACCCTGCCTGTCCCTTTCTTCCATGTCTCTATTTGATGTGCAAATACAAAATGAACAGATTCCTTCATATGGAAGAAGTCACACTTGTAACACACAGAAATATCACTACATTATTAGCTTTCAAAAAACAGAAGGATCCCCCCAATATTTAATTACAGTCAAGCATTAACGTACTGTAAATATTTCCTCTGACTGGTCCATGCAGGGAGGAGTACTTATTCAAATCTATTACCTAACCAGCAAACCCTTCTCAACAGGAAAAAAAAGATGTTATACAGATACTCACATGCATATGATAACAACAAATATTTTCCTCAAAACAAAAAGTATCTTTTTTATTTCTGTATTACAAGTCCAGGGTCCTTACAGCAACAAGCCACAGTGACAGCCAAATGGGCTGACTACCTACAGGTTTCACGCAGATTTGGTTTTTTGACAAGAAAAGGAGTGCAAGACAGAGCTCATACAAAACATGACGTGCCAAGTAAGTGCCTCAAGTCCTTTTACAAGTGCAAGTAATAAATAGGCTCAGTGGATCTTAAAGCACACTTCTGCCAGTAAAACATCTGTTTAAAACATGTCACTTTTTCCACTCTTGCTGGTAAGGGAATTGACTTAGGAGTGGACCCCTCAGTAGTACTCGAACAGGAGGTAACATAGAAGTGAATTCTGCACAAGCAGCAAGTGAAATAGCACAAGCTGAAGGAAGGATGTGGTTTCTAACTGCACTACACATACTTGCAAGTATTTGTGCAAGCAACAAAACACAGTGACACCTTCAAAAGTTAACTTGAATAAGCGTTAAAAACATTTCCCCAGAGTACCTACCTGTGTAAAAGAATCCTGCTCTAGCCAGTTGCTCAGGATGCATGTCAGTATATTGTGGCCAGTTCCGAAATGTAGATAGTCTCACCTCCTCTGTTACCATCTCTGGGTATTCTGGTTCGTTGGGCAGGGCTGTCTCCTCGCTGTCCATCCCCTGCAAAAGACTAAGGAACTGCCCATCCACAGTGTCAAAAATCTCCTGAAGAGGAAGCATCTCTTGGTTCCCAACGTCCTCACCGCAAATGAATTTACAGGAAGGGAAGAACTTCAGGTGCTCTGCTATTGGGCAATCACCAGGTCCCCAATCCTTCAGGACACCACCACAGCAGAAACACTGTACTTCATCTCTTGGACCCACAAAGAAAAAGCCAGCCTTGACCAAATCTCGGGCAGACACAGGTGAGGTGCCTGGCCATTGCCAAAAAGTCCTCAGTCTTCTTGCTTCGTTCCTCATGCTGGATTCAAACAACTGGCAGCAAGCAGCCCTGAGCTCAATCTCCTCTGCTGGTGTCACGTCCCCCATGTTCTCGTTCTGAAAGAGAGGATGAAATAACGCAGAGCAATCAGCTGGATTCCCAATGTCAGGCAGCACTCGCCCTGCATTATTTGTTCCTCATCCCCATGCATATTCTGGAAAGCTCCTGATCTGGACAAAGCTGAGCTTGTTTCAGAATTGCAGCCTAATCAGAGATCTGGTGCTTCTGTACTTTGCTGTTGAACTTTTGCTGAGTCCTCACTAGTGTCTGAAGGGAAGAGAATAGCACTTTCTGAGCCCCTCTGCCAATTTACAGGAGAGATGCTTGCGGGAACAGACAGTGGAACGGTAGGGCAAAACCCATGCTGCCTCCCTTGCTGAACCAATCCAGTTTTCAGCATCTGATCTGTGTGAGAAATCCCCAGTCATTTTGCTCAACCTTCAAATTAACATTAAAAAGACCCTGCTTTTTTTTTTTTCCCTAAAACCAGATTTAAGAAGGCATGCCATAATAAAGCAAGCAACAGCCACACCCAAACAAAAGTGTCTCATAATGTTCATTTTACAGCCAAACACTACACAGAATATCATTAGATTTTTCATAACCTTATTATGCTAATTAGTGAATATATAGAAATATCTCTCTAAAATAGAATTTCTCCAGGACACAATCTAAATTAATTAGGTCCGGTTTCTATAAGGAGGTGTCCTTAAATCAAAGATAAGACATTTTCTGCCTGTGGTAGTTCTATGCAAAAGGAAAAGTGAAATTAAAACAGTTACTGAGTGCCCAATTATCCAAGCCTTCACCCTACTTAACGTAATAGCCCCTCCCTGTGCGAGTAAGCTAAACTGCAACTCAGCTACTGCTTCTAATACTTCCTATATGGCTGGCAAATACACTTTCAAAAGGCCATACAATTACACAACTGAGAATCAAGATCAATTTAACTTACTACTCTCAAAGAATTCTTTTGGAGTGAAGTCACTACACATGTGACTAAGTGGTAGGTCCAATCAAATCTTTTTTTTTTTTTTTTTTTTTCCCCCCCAGTAAGTGCCCTAGAAACCCCTTCACCACCTAACTCAGTATGTCAACTCATTCCACAGAAGTGCTGACTATCTACTGGTTATCAGAGCTAAGCATTTTAAGCATACAGACCCAAAACATCACATGGGCAAATATTAAATTAGGGAAAAAAAAAATTACACACACCCCCCCCCCCCCGCAAAAAAAAAAAAAAAGATATGGTGTTTCAAAGGTTGTACAAAACATTATTAGGATAATAGATAACTACTGCAGTGCACTTTTGAATAGGCACACTGTAAAAAACAATCAAGTGGAGACCACCTGTATAGCAGCTACTCTGCAGTAAACACAGTCACAGAGACTGTTAAGAGGCACTGAGGCCACTAGCGCCTCTGAAGTACTGTTCCTCTTAGTTAAGTGCTGCAGTACATTTAGGGGAAAAAAACTTCCAGGGCATTTTAGTTGCAAGACCTGTAGCCAGAGCTAACAAATCCATCCTTTATAGGTATTACAGATACAGTGAGATTTTAAAAGCAAAAGCAAGCTTTCTCAATCACATGCCTCTCACAGTAAAAGGTAGCAAGGAAGAGAAAGTTCAAAGTAAATAGAACTTTCTTCTATAAATCATAATCACAGAAACCAGAGTTGTAGGAAAAGAAGTCTCTAAAGGTTTGTTTAAGAAACTATGCTTTATTTAATACAATAAAGTAGTTGCTCAAGAACTATGTCGCTGGTATAAGGAAAAATCCACACAGAAAGGAAAAAACCCATTAGTCACTGATACACAGCAGAATTTGCAAGCTAAGCAAACTTACGAGCATGCAATTAGTTAGCCTGCACAGCAGATTTTGCTCTCAGAACACAGAGTAGCAACAGGGAGACTTGTTCATCAGGCACAGCTCCACAATATCAGCATAGCTCTCATTTTGGGCCCTAACAAAACAAAAGCTATTATTCTTAAACGATGACAAACGCTATTTTCCACCTAGAAGGTGATCAAGTTATTTTTGCCTACTTCCACTTAGGAAGTACACATCAGAGCAAGCTTCACAGCAAAATACAAAGAAAGAAAATTAGCTTTTCCACCCAAAAGCTTAACAGCTGAATCAAGCTTTTTTTAAATAAGAGATGCAACATAGAAGAACAAATATATTTATCTTCTGTTTATGAAGAAACCCATTATGGTTTACCTGCATTAAAGACATTTATATGCTCTGCAGAAGATCCATTAACTTCGCTAACAAGGCTCTCCAAACCAAATTGGTATTTTAAATAGTTGCAACACCACTGAAAGCCAATATTCTCCCACAATCCGCTACTTACTTACACCTACATAGTAATACACTTTCAAAGCAACATTACAGCTAATATCAACAATTCCCTATAATTAGCACAATAAAAAGTAAAGGGGGGGAAAAAAAAAAAAAAAGAAATTTACCTGCAATATGCTAAAAAAAACCCACTGAAAACACTTCCAAGAACTAAAACTCTCCTAACCCCACAAGCTTTAAGCTATCCTCTTCTCTTCTAGGCAATGTAGAGGTCTTTCTCGAAGAAGCAGAAATCCTTCCAAGGTGTAAGTGGTCCCACCTGACACAGAGGCCATTTCTAATGCTTCGTTTTCCCTAATTGGTTGGTTTTGTGCTGAAATTCTCTACTGGCTAAACAGTCCAAATTTCATCTTCATAAGTGGGAGTCACCAGGGAAAGATACAAAGAAATGAACATAATCATATTCTAAAAAAAGACTGTCCCGATGTAAGTTATGCCATATGTTGAATACGCTGTAGTATGTCATACATGGGCACAACAGCAGTTCCCTATCAGGAGGGTGATAGCCCTCTTAGCCCTTGCAATTGTGCTGTGACTCTATATTAACAGTATTTCTGTGCTCTCACACATGTGTTTTGCACCTTAAAATTTTTAAGAAAATGTACTATAAAATTAACAGATAAATAGCAAAAAGAATTTACTCAAGACAGCTTGAATAGATTGCATTGCCTTTACTTTGGGAATAAACACTCTTTTGCTACCATTGCATCTTCACAATTTGAAATCTTTCTATTCCTTTGCCTTCCTGTGGTCACAATTCAGAATGAAGGATTTTAAAGCTACTTTTGAAATGTGCAATTACTTGAAAATGTGTTTTCCCCTACCACTTTTCTGCCTGAGAAAATGCGTGCAGGTTATTCTAAACGATGTGCTTGACAAAACATAAGTTCTTCATGTTAACATAAGAACACATCTATTTGTAAAAAATTATAAATTAGGATTTTTCTTTTAAGAAAAAAGATCCGGGGTCCTTTTCTTACAGGCAAGCCTATACAAACATTTTAATTAAAAAGAACCGTGTTGAAACTTTTTTTTTTAATCAAATACACGTTAATGAAAAACCCTGAGCAGTAGAGGGCACTGCTTATATACAAAATTTACAGAATCTTCTATCAAGTGAATGTGGGGACTTTTTTGTCGGTAATGAATTTATATACATTGCAATATATATTGCACATTATCTTTTGCTCCACAGATCCTGTTCTTTATAAGTCTATATTGATTTTTGAAGAATGTATCCTAAAAATATAAGATACAGAGTTAACAAAATCCCTCTTACAGAGGCTGTTTGGGGAGTCTGCTGATGGGTTGTAGTAAATCACCTGTTAATAGATAAGAATGAACAATAGTTCTGATCTTGTGAATCATTTTACAAGCAATGACCTCATCTTGTACTGATTATAACCACTTTGCTTCTCAAATGTGATCTCAGGAGGTGTTGGGAACATAGTAGGCTCCTCGATTTGCCTTCCTCACAGCCACTCCTTGGCCTCACCAGCAGTCTGCAAGCAGCTCTCAGGGATGCTTTCATGCAATGCTTAAAAAACCTGCCGATGGCACAGGGTGGCACTGATGCACCATAGTGTTGTGGTAAAGGTGTATTGAACTGCCAAGCCCGTACAATCCCACTTGTTCCAGGGGAGCCCCCAGGGTGACTGTTAAAGAGGGAAAAGCTGTATAAAAGCTCACAGGAGCTGAAAGGCAGCTCCTAAATTAATTTACAAAATTTGACTGATTCTGGCAGTGATTATTAGGGTTTTTTGTTTACATAACATTCTTTCGTCATGCAAGCTTCAAGACAGGTTTAAGGTTGGTTTTCTGTGGGGATACACTCATGTGATTTTGGGGGGAACATCTCACCAACAAAGGGAAGCTCAGAAGGACTAGTGAGATGACTAGCAGAAGATGAAGTGACACCAAGTCTGGTGCTGAGAGCAATTAAAAATAAGTCACCATGGATAAATGATAGGGTTTTATTTTAGCACACTAAAATTTTGAAAGCAAATAACATATTCAGAAATGTGTTCTATGCAACTAATATTGATCTTTTTTAGCAATTCCTATACATTTTTAGTTCCTTTTCAGAGAATTAAGATGCCCTACTGAATTTCTGAATGCTTCTTAAAAAGAAGAGTGTGATGAGCTAAGAACAAACAAATGTAGGAATCAGTAAGCATCAACCAGGAGTCCAGGATAGATCAGTGACAGTGATCAACAGTATGAGAAACGTAGTAACTTCTAAATTGCTGAGCTCATTCCAAGCATGACTGGAAACCAATACTAGACAGTGATTTGAAACACTCTAAGAAGAAAGGAATGTAAACATAATTAATCAAAAATATGTTTGCTGATATCAGCCTGATTTGGAAGGAAAACAATCAATAAATACAAGGTCTAGAGCATAGCTGGAGACAGCATGATAAAGAGCTCAAAAGGGCTGAAGCGACTAGAGCCTCTGGAAAAACTCCAGCAGAGTTCAGCATCTCTAACCTCGAAGTTCTACACAGCTGTAAGGGGATGAAGTTGTTCTGTGTGGTTGGCATTACCAAAGAAGCAAAGAGGCTGGGAACACGAATAGAGATACCATAGCTTGCCACTGCAACTGATGTGTAAGGGGGCTGGATATCAAGGAAATTTACAGCATAATTCCTGTTCCCACTTGCTCAGAACCACTGTTAACCATTCTG